CTTTCTAGACTTGATGGGAATGCCAACGCCACCGCCTAGTGTACGCGCAAGAGCAGGCCGTGTGGGGTACAGTGACGGGCGCACAGCGTCCTCTGCTCCCCCACAGGGTGTGGCAGAACTAGTCGCGCTCTCTCCGCGAAGCCGATTAGATGGTCGCTGGGAGCCGATAGAGCCTTTCTCTGAAGACCGGAGCTCTTTAGAACTCGATCACGCGCATATTCTATGTCTGCAGCAACTCGCGGAGGGTACGCTATCAGTCGATGGGGGGCCCGCGTTGCGTGGAAGCCATAGCTTCGATAGTGTCCTTACTGCTAGGGTTGATCCCCAATCTCCGGACTTGGAGCATACACCTACCGCCATCACCCCTCCAGGCGCCATACACTCTCCGACACTCGAGATCACCCCACCAACGAAGAACAGCTTCATCGCTTCATATCATGCTCTCGTCTTCGACGTCCTCCAGACGTTCGATGGCTCCGCACTGTCCTCCCCGAGCAATCGTACATCGCCCGTCCCGTTCGAGAACGGCGACGCGGTCAACCCTTTGCCACCCGATGACCCGAGGTTTATCCTCTGGTCCACTCCCACCCCGCCGGTCGTCCCAACAGGCCCTCCCAGGCAAAGTGCGTTCATAAACGTACAACCTCCGACACCTACTCAAGGCCCGGTCAGGCGAAACCTACTTGCATGCACCCTTGAGCGCTGGATCGCCCAGCTCACCTCGAGCTTGGACTATGACATCCTCCTCGACACCCTTATCTCCTATCGACCGTTTCTCCCTCCTGCAGCGCTCGCACGATTGCTCATCATGCGCTTTATGTGGACTCTTCAGCAACCTCCCGCAGACTATCACCCCACCGAGATCAAGCGACAAGAAGTTGTACGCAAGATCGTACGCCTGCGGACGATGCTCGTCATGCGCTGTTGGCTGCAAGTCTTTTTCCGTGTCGACTTTGTACACAACAAGGAGGCACGTGATGTTCTAGTCGGCTGGATGAACTGTATGGAGCGCGAACCGGAGATTCAGGCAAGGGACGATGTGCTCAAGCTTGTTCGGCGACTGAAGCGGATCGTGCGGGAATGCAAGGACGCGTATAACCGGGATGTTCAGACTGAGTTCGAGCTTGGTCTGAAAGACTTGCCTATCGCACCTTCTGCTGCTCCTCTTCCGCCTGTTCGGCATAACGCCAACCCTGTCCCACCAGAGGAACAGAATACGGAGGATATCGACCTTTCTGACCTCTCCCCCCGGCCATCAGTAGACTACGACCGTCTTGCCGGCCGCTCGGCTGCAGAAGAATATGCGCATCTGGCAACGTACGGCAAGCCTAATCCTTCGTCGCAGCGCAGGGAGAGCATCCGCGGTTTGGCAGACTTTGTCGCACCCGTCATACCCCCTGCTCAGGTCCCTCTGCTCATCCCCAACAGCACGGCTGTCGCTGCCCCCCCTGCTGCTAACGGTGTCCCCATGGCGCTCGGTCTGGACCTTGACGATGATTCGGAGATGAGCCAGCTCGTGCCTGTTAGCCCGACACATCAAGGTACCGGTACGCGAAACGCGCTGAGCAGAGCGATGGGCAAGCTGAAGCGCGCAGTTGCTGGCAAGTCTAGCCCTGTGAGCGCGGTCGGTGTCGCTTGCACGGGATCTGAAGCGGCAAAGGCGTTCTTGGAGGACACTCCTGGACTTGTTAGTGCTGCTTTGATGGCTGGGCGAGCGGACAGCCCCCCACCCCCTCCCGTACCAGTGAAGGAGGTCGCTTTCCCCCCAGTCCAGTTCAGCCCTCCTGTTATCGTTTCGGTCGTTTCGGAGGCCTATGCCCAACCCCCGATCATGCACGAAGATGCGCCTCCTGAGAAGGAACTCGAAAGGGAACCGGTTGAGGAACTACCGGTGCAGAATGACGAGACGGTGCATGCTGAAGTGAGGCCGGCGGGGGATAGGACTAGCGAGGACTATACTCCTTCCTTGACTCCCGCTAGTCCTACGAGTAGCGAGCCTGTAGAGAGTAGTGGCATGTGGGAGAAACGGATGCAGCAGGACTGTGACGGCGAGGCCAACGCCGAGGCCAGCGAGACTTTCTCCAACCTCAGCATCAACAATGGATGGCAGCAGGAGAGCGTGACCAGTTTGGAGAGCGGCGCCGGGGGCCACTTGGCGGGAGGGAATCAGCATCCGCATGTTGTTGCGCTCGATGACTGGGATTCAGACCTGGACGTTGATTCCTCGGACGAGAATGAAGCGCCTGTTCACAGGCAGCCGAAGCGTCTGCCCCGTCGGCTTCCCCTACGGCGGGAAATGGACGAACGACCGATATCGACCGCATCTGTTTCTTCCCTTGGCATTCGTTCCTACGACGATCGAGACTCCGTCATTAGCGCCACATTCCCTGGGATCCGCGAGCGAGAACGTGAGCTCGGTCCTCGAAACGTTTTGCTGGAAGGACCTCTCGCGATATGGCAGCTTGACCTTATTGGTGCATACCTAGAGAGCGATGAAGAGGAGGGCGAAGTGGGTGATGCCGCTGCTGCTCTCGCCAAGCTCGAGGGGCAGATTGATGAGAGCAGGCAGGCTCAGAGGTGGAAGCGTGCTGGCGAGTTTATTGAGGAGGCCGCTGTGATCGCCCAGGGCATGCTGGATGAGAAGCTTGCGAAGGATCGAGCTTCCATAGAGTGCAGCAGTATGGGGAGCGCACCGAGCGCTCGGAACACTATTAGTGTCACGCCAGCCAACTCGGAGAAGGCTGTCCGGCTACCTCCTGCTAGTGCTGCGCCTGCAAGACCGCATGCCTCTAGCATTGGGAGTGTATCGCCCTTACCGGTCATCCCACCCCCACCGTCGTACAAGATGGATCACGTCTCGCTCATATTGATGCATGGCTCGACCGAGCTTGCCGAGGCGTTCTGTTTGATTGATTGTGAGATGATGCTCGCCATTCGTTTTGAGGAAATACTGCATCTGGAATGGTATGGCCGCATACAGACGGAGCCAGATGTCCTGGATTGGGTATCATTTATCAAGAACCGCGCGGTAGTTCGATATGAGCTGCAGCAAAAGCACCGAAAAATGAGGAATCAGCGCCACTCGGCCACCAGCCCTGACCAACCGACCATGCGCATCGCCGAGGGTTCTATCCGCAAGCTGAGCGATATCGCGGCTATTAAGGCTCGTTTCAACCTTATGGTGCACTGGATTGCGCATGAGATCCTGCTCACCCATCCAACCAGGCGAGTGGAACTGGTGAATAAACTCATTCGTATCGCCTATGTACGTCCCTGTTTCATGATTCTGTGCGTGATATGGTTCTAACACAACTATCCTTGTGAATAGAAAGCCTACAGGATGAACAGCTTTGCCACCGTCGTGCCGATTGTTGCTGGCCTCCGCAGTCCAGAGACAGCTATTGCCATGCGTAAGCTGTGGGTCCGAGTTGGTGCCTGGGAGATGAAGATTTACACTGGACTGCGAGAGTTCTGCAGTCCTGAGGATAATTTCAAGTTTATCCGCGCGTCAGTCTTGCGCCTCATCGATGAACCCACGAATGGAGTCGCACCGACCTCGGTGAGGGCAGCGCTTACTGCTAATGGGAAGGTCCGCAACTCGGCGACAACATGCGTTCCGTTCCTTGGCGTCTATATCTCCCAGATGCAGAACCTCTCGCGCCTGCCGGACTATATCGACCCGACTGACCCGCCAAATGGCCAACGGTACAATATTGGTGCAAACCTGTTCTATCCTTGCAAGAATCCTGATCGGTTTGCTGCTCTGCAGCCCCTGCCAGAATCTCTCCCTTTGGAGCCACTCATCAATGTCGAAAAAGCGCGTAAGATTGCTGATGTTGTCCGCAACTTCGTCGCTGGCCAACATCTCACTGTGAACATGCGTTTCCCTGAGATCAACCATGCGCTGTGGAAGTCCTGCATGTCGATCAGAAGGCTGTCATCCGAAGAGGTGAACGGAAGGCTTATGGCGGAATAGAACCACGCTTCAGCTTCTTTGTGAGAAATTTGTCCCTGGCTTCTATCTGCTTGTCTGACCAAGTGACGCAGCTCGTATCATATACCAATTTACGAACGGACTCATCCATTAACGACTCAGCCCCGAACATGCACGCCACTTTTATCCCGGAGTCCTCAGTGATCAGATTTCAGTTGGCTAACGAGCACAAAAAATAACGCAACTGACCCTAGTCACTCTTTTGCACTTGCACGACCACTACTGTTTCTATAAGACATTTTCCTGGTCTCGTGTTGTACTCCGTTGGTAGGGGGTTCATCTCTTTCTCCTAGTTGGCGGCTTTTCTTCTCTGTAGGTTAACGACTTCATGACGGTTTGAGTGTATCACTTTCGGTTACAATGCATTACTTTCACATCTGAGCAACAAAGGAGGTTTGTCTTCTCATGGAAGATCCAAAGTGATCAGTCTTGTGTGCAGGACGGTCGGAACTTGACCGGAACCGAGAGAAGAGATCACGTGATGCGTCGCGTAGACGCGCTTTTCATTTACGCACGCGTTTTAATTCCCTTTCTTACCTACTTGTGTTACACGATGACTCCCTCTTCTCTGCGAAATCCCAAACCCATAAAGCGGACCTACGGATCTTCAAACCGTCTCAAGATCTTCATACCATCATCACCAAGATCAACAGTATCATGGACAGCGAGCTCACCTGCCCCGTCCAGCCCACAACGACATGGAAAGGAGAATCTAGCGAGCGATCTCTCCATTTCATATGATATCAAACAATCTAATCTATTCATCAAGACTGGCACTAAGCGAAAGACTTCTGTGTTGGACGATGATACCCCAACACAACGCCGAACCCTTGATTCGTTCTTTTCCACCTCAGTGACCACCCGTCCTGCAAAGAGACCCAGGCCAGGGAACGATTCCAAACCGAAAGCAGAGGCACACGATCCTACCCTCGTTCAGATGCATCTTGCTCTTTCCTCGAGGCCTATTGTGCGCACTTGTCAAGTGTGTAATCTCAGCTATACCATCGGAGCCCCCGAAGACGAGGACCTGCACAAGCGACATCATGCGCGCGTCGTGGCTGGGATCGAGTGGAGTAGGGGGGAAGAAGTGAGCAAGGGCGTGGAGGTGATCGAGGAGGGTGTTATGGTTGGAAAAGGGAAGACGAAGACGAAAGGACGCGTGCTTGCGTTTGAAGGTAGTTGTTCTGGGAAAGTGAAGAGCAAACTCAACACACTGCTCGAAACGATCAACACCGAACTGTCGGCGCCTTCGCTCTCGGATACTGCACTCGCCTCGTCAAAAATCTTCATTTTTGTCCTACCTTCTGGGACATCAAAGAAGGAGAAGGTCGTGGGCTGCGTCCTTGCCCAGCGAATAGACACCGCCATGCGCGTAGTTACACGCTCAGACATCATCGAGGACAACAGAACAACCGAAGGTAGGACAATTATGATCGATAGCGATGAGTCCGGCGGCTTGTACTGTGATCCCACACCCTTACCGACTCCGCTGGGCGTATCTCGACTTTGGACTTCGGCGCAGCATCGAAAGAAGGGCATTGCAACAGTGCTGCTGGACGCCGCCTGCCGTCGAACGGTGTATGGTTGTGAACTAGATCCTAGGGCGGGTCATGTCGCTTTCAGCCAACCTACGACTAGTGGAAGGGCTGTCATGATGCGATGGGGTAAAGGAGGGTGCCGTATCTTTACTGAAGTTTGAGACGTAGACTAACGACGGGACGATGCACGAAACATGTACACTGTATCCGTGTACATATTCCATGACAGATCTTCACGCCTTTGTTTGCAGAAAACAAGAATGATATTGCATGTTATGATTGGATGATATGCGGGTTTGTGTGGTTGATGCTGATGAAAATGCGATGACCTAACTGAAGTAATGGATGCAATGGATGAAGAGATAGGTGCACGCATCTAGAGAGAAACAAGAAGAAAGGGAGGAAAAGCAAGAACGACCAGCTCCTTTATCGTACAATGTCGTCGAGAAATCACTTTTGAGCGGTGGTGGGTACATAATCTTTCGTAAGGTCGATTCCGGCGATCTTGTTGAGATGGGTATTTGTGATCTTGATTCGACGATTGGGCTTGGCAGCGCCTTTCCTACCCTTCTTCCGTATTCCACCCGAAAACTTAGGAGTCATCTCGACTGAAGCGGTCTGTTGACCGACTGAACAAGTGGATCAGAATTAAAATTATGATGCTCGTGTGTGAAGGGCCGCTCACAGCTCTGCAGATCTGACATGATGATGTCCTCATCCGGCACCTTCTGCGAGTTCCATATCTCTTGGAACTCTGGTCTGAGTGTCAGCACGATCGCAAATTACATACACAAGGCACTGCTCACCCTTGTCGATCTGCCCCCCACCCTGTTCCAATGGTACTTCATTGAAGAAGACAATTCTAGGTGTGTTGTCCTTCGCCGTCCGGGTGACGATGACATCACCTCTTGCGGCAAGCTCCTCGATTGCTGGTATGGCAGACGGCCAGGATTCACGAATGACCTTGACAGACATGCCCCCTCCGCGCTTGTAGTGACGTGTGATCTCGGTTAATAGCTGCTCCTTATTGCGAATATTGAAGTCGGGCTGTATTACTGTCACTCTCCAGGCCTCGACCCACACAAGGGCATGAAGCGAACCTTGTACGAATAGGTGTTCGTTTTTGTGTCATGAATGACGCGATCATGTTGCAGGAACATATCATACAGTTCGGCATTGCTGTCAAGAGGTATTCCTAATTGGATTGATAGATCCTCGAGACGGATGGGATTACCATGGTCCTGTAGGAGCATATACGTCGGCACGGAGGACGCAGAATACACAAGCGCCACACGTACTTTCAGCGCTCGGACAGCATATACAAGTTGAGTGTTGATATGTGATCCGGTTCCTGTGTCTGCAGGCTGAGAGAACACAACATCTTATGATCAATCCCGGTCAGCACGGTAATGACAACCAGGTGGGCGCTCAAGTGAGCGAACCTTGCTTTAACCTCTGCTTCTTCTTCTTCTGCACGCCACCATCCTCAGCATCGCTGGAATATGCTGATGATGCTACCGAGTTCGCTGCGCTGGGTGCAGATGATGTTGGTGGCCACGGTGCGCTCGACTTCGGAGTTGCTGCCCCCGACGACGGCGATGACACCGATGATCCTGGTCTTGAAGCGCCGTTCTTGTGAGGTGTATGTGACTCCTTCTTTCTTATTGTGAACCCCGGAGCGAGGTTTCGTGCGTGCTGCTGCTTTGCATTGTTCTGGAGTGTCGACCGAAGCAAGTTGGACATGGTCGTCAGAACACAGCGCTAGTCACCGCAATGAACGGCGCAGAGTGGCGCAGTTATGGGGAATAAGGACCCCAGAACAGGCGGACCGCTGGCACCGCTATTGTCAAGTCAAGTTTATAACACTTTGTTATATCTTGCTATAGGATTATGAAGGAAATACGCTTCAGTATATAAAACCGCATCTCAACCAGTAAACAGCACAAACATCCAACTTCCGCTGGGAGAAAGTATTGATAGCCTCCCGTAGCCACAGATATCACACGAACAAGGGTTGTTCAGCAGTTTATTACATTTATACAATAGACAATTTGCATCATCTAAACGTTTGGGTGATTGCTTTTGAAATGTTATGAATCATGGTGACAAGGGCGCGACGGCGAGAGCGTCCTTGCCTGCACAACGATAATCAGCGATGGCGAAACCTGTCAACGAAACAGATACGCACCAGAATAAAATGCATCCAAGAAACCTGTTGGATGCTCCCCTTGTCTCTCTATCGGAGCCATGATGAGTGCCAGCAACTGCGCCCTCATCTTCCAAGTATTCATGATCTCCTGATATTCTTGTCGTCCCTTGAGAAGAAGCACATCGAGGACCTTGACATCGGAAATGTGTTTGTTCCTCTCAAATTCCTGTCTGAAGCGGGCACGGACGAGAGAAGGAGGGATATCAATCGCGTAGAGATCGCAGATCTCTGGGGCCTGGAGACTGATCAGCAACTCCGAGGAGCGATCAAAAAACCATCCTTACCGCACGATAGAAGTCCCGGTACAGAGCTAGTACGTCTGGACGCGCAGCAGCAACAGACACATGTGTGACTGCTCGTTTTGCGAGACGCGCTGGGATGGTCGTCATTGCGGACGTCGACGAAGAGGGTAATGAGGGCGACTTGCACAAGCTTGGACTTGCAGTACACTTGGGGTCAGAATGATCCCGCACAGAAGGGTCCTAAATTTCCCGACTGCGAAGGACAGTCAACTTCACAACTTGCATTAATGCACGATACATTTCATCGTGAGTAAACATATTCGAATAGTAATCTTACGCTAATGGATGTTCTCTGCTAGCGCACTGAGGGATGATGCCATACTACGAATGCACCGCTTGTCAGCATCTCGCCGATGCATCCCTCACCACAATCAATTTTGCCTTGCGAACAACACGAAGCCAATATGCAGACGAGCTTTCCGACCGCTCTCGTCGTACCCACACGCCAATGGTTCTCCCGATCCCAAGAAAGCGATTGATTTGTTTCTATCGGGAGAAGTTGCAGAGGAACATAAACAGAGTTCAATGTCTGAATCGACCGAAGACGCATCTGTATCAACAGACAGGGATGGGCAGTCGGGGGTAACATCCTCCGACAATGCGTCGCTCAAACAACAAGCTTGGCGCGATGCTCTTCGAAAACTCGTCCCGAGACGATTCAATGAGCTCGAAGATGCCGAAGCCGAGTCCTCCACTACGATTCCTTTCGAGTCTACTCGCCAAAGCCCGCAGGAAGATCCACAACCTGCTCTCTCCCCTTGTCGGGAGCCGAAACCCCTCGAAAGAAGGCAAGATCTCTTGTACATGTCTGCATCTCCCCACGGACGAACGTTCCTCGAGCACGTGAGAGAACGAAGTCACAATTTCGAGAAGCATGCCAAGAGACCACCTCGTTCGCGCGGACTCCATTTCACTCAAGTGAAGGATGTCATCGTATCTTCTGCCAATGCTCTGCTGGCTTCTGGAAAAACGAGGGAAGGTGCTCCAGAGCTCTACGATGTGGCGACCCTATGGCTACATATATCCAATCACGATCTCTGGGAACAAGGAATCAAGGCGTACGGCTGCAGTTTTACCGATCTACTACGATGGAGGAACGCTCTTGCTTCGCGAACCCTTCTTGATGCACTTTCCCACCTCTTTCCGGACTTGAATGTCCAACAAAAGCTCTATTACGGACAGCAGCAGAACATCTGTCCACCCCCTGGGTGGTTACTCCATCTGTTGCTGCTGTACCGAATGCACACCGCAAACGATGTTGCTGCCGGTTTGCGGCTTGCCGTCAGCGCTCTTACGAATCCTAACGTCTTTCCTTCGGAACGATGGAAGTTCAGCCTCATTGTCCTGCGCAATGTTTGCAGCTCCGGGCTCACTCCCCTCCTTCACGATTGCATAACTCTCGTGCTCATGCATCCAACTCAGTCCCAGGTGGAATCGACCAATATCGCAGCCTCAGAACCATCAACGACTTTTGACGAGCTGGACGAATTGGACCATCTTAGAAATGAAGGAGGATCCGCTCATGAAACCGCAGGATGCGAATCATTCCTCAAAACCGATGATCCCAAGATATTTCAAGGTGATCTTATAGAGCCTCGGAGGAACAGAGATAGCATCACAGGAGAAGAGGATCCCGCGCAAAGCGACATTTTGGAGCGAGCGTTGGCAAACGGACTTCCCCGTGCCGTGGCGTATACGCAGATGAAGTTCTTTCTCATCGTCGAGGCATTGCGGCAACTCCCCCCTAGTCCCATCCATGTTATGGAACTCACCCGTGTACTTCGCAAGCATGAGGAGGCCGGTTTTCCTCTGACGATATTCCTACTCAGATGGATCACAAGTGCAGGACGCGATTTCGGGAACTTGGAGCTTGTCAAGTACCTTGCACAAAGAATGGAGAAGGATCGGATTCAACCCAGTTCCCGAGATCTGTTATTTTTTCTCCGAATTCTTGCAAAGAGTGGACATGTGGAGGCGGCCGAGAAGATCGTTCTCTCCATTACTGACGACATTTTTCCTAGGACGCCTCAGGCGGATGCAGAGCAATCGCTGCCTGAACGTCTCAGTGCTCTTTCGGAATCGGATTTCAACCAGTGGCCTCAATTGTCTACCTCCCTAGCTCACTACGTAGAAGCCGCGAGATATCGACCCGACATCCTCGACCACATTAGGCAGCTGAAGTCTTCAACACCAGATTGGAACAAATCGGGCTTCCTCTGGACGACTGTCATGCGGACGATGAGCAAGCAGAAGAGTGTCGATTTGAATAACCTGGCGGCATTCCACTCAGCCAGAAATTCCTCATTCGATGTAAATGCCACCTCCGGTATCTTCGCTTTTCCTTTGGGCACAAGAGCAACTGCTCCGCAGTCACGTCGTCCCGAGAATTTGGAGGTTCTGCGGCATAATAGGCATGCGTTTGTGTCCCTTATGAAACGACTCCTCGGCAAAGGCAAGAAGGCGGCCGCAATCACTCTGTGGGAACAAGTCAAAGGCCATCTTGAGGACGTAGATGCCAGCGTGCTGTCTATTCTCATCCGTGCCCTCAACGCAGCTGACCGGATCAACGAATCCTATGGCCTGATATGCAAGATAGGAGGAATCGCAATTCACCCATTTGTCCAGTCCCACGTCGAAAATCTTTGGCCATCAACCGCGCTGATCCAGCTTGATGATGGTATATTCAACTGTTTTATGACTGGACTCAGTCGGGCAGGGCGATTTGATGTTGTCTGGCAGTTATGGAAGGGGATGGGCCAGCATTTCGGAGTGTCACCTACAAACGAGACTCTAACAACGCTTATCACTGCGGCTGCGTTCTCTGATGTGTTGCCGACCTTTACAAGCGAATTTGCCGAGTTTCGAAAGCGTCTGCCATTCGCGCAGCCCCGACCCGATCCGGTATTATCGCCCACGGAAATCGCTGATGCCCTGCTCACACCAATGCCGACACAATTCTGGGATGGCCAACCACCGTATAGTATTGCGCAACGCATTTTCAAGGAAATCGTCCTCAGCAACTTCCCGTGGCTAAGGACAGTCAAGGCCCCAGTCAGTGACGTCAAGAATGTGTTTTCTATATTTGGAAGAATATCAAGGACCTATTCCGGCCATAAAGTGGTCGCAGAGAATATACAACATCTTCAATTGAGTGGTGACCTTCCCACCATGTCTCGATGGCCGGATATCTATCCGGATGCCAAAGCGTTTGCCGCCTATATATTACTTCTGGGCCGTCTAAACCTGCTGGATGAAATTCCACTCACGCTTGCTTGGATGCGTGCTTTAGACGTGAAGCCCCTCCGTCGATCACTGGCACAGGCCTTAATGTTCTACGAGGATATCGGGGCGCCGCCTCCTCTTATCAATGATATCATTGATCAGCGCGGTGGTAACTTCGAACAACTGCGGCTCTGGATCGAGGAATGGTTAGGACCCCAAGCCACGCCGCAAAGTGGAGAAATAGTCCGTGCAAGACAAATTCATTTCGGTTGGCATGGATATGTCGAGCAAACGAGTAAAACGGTGGAGGATAACACAGGCAGTGTGGAGGATGCAGAGGACTTAGATTTAGAACGGAGACCTGTCGATCCGCACGTCAACGGACCGATCGCCGAAGGAAATAATGCTTCATCACAACAACCGAACAAAACGGCAAAACATCAGCAAGCGCACACTGATCGAAATATATTCCAATGGCCCTCGAAATAACCACACCAACCATTCGTAGTTGTACCACTGTAGAACATAGTACATTGCATGGTATGATCAATTCATCAACGTTTTTGCGCAGACGCAGCTTGCTTGGCAGCAAGTTCAGCATCTTTCGCAACTTGTTCCGCTTTCCTCTGTGCAGCGGCTTGCTCGCGCTCCTTGCGGATCTGAGCAAGACGGGCAAGATCAGCCTTAGCTTGATCTGTCTTCCCAGCTTGGTGTAACTGGATGCGCATCAGTGGTGGCTCCTATTTGTAAGGCAACTATCCATACCTTCCAGTAGCGCTCCTTTGCTTCCTTCTTCTCCTTCTCTTCCCTCTCCCGCCTGCTCATCTGCACTGGCTCTGCACCAACATTTGCGAGTTTTGTGGACTTGGCCGCAGCACGATTTGCATTGACAAGAAGGGAATCATCGGCTTCTTCCTCTTCCTCTTCTTCCTCCTCACCCTCGGCAATTGCAGTGGCCTTGGCTACGGGTTTGGTCGGCTTTCCTGCTTTCTTCTGCGCTCGGCGCTCGGCGCGGGTAAGCTCTTGTTCCGCAGAGCCTGAAGCAAGCGGGCCAGGCTGGGGCGCGACACCTCCGTCGTCATCTTCCTCCTCGTCATCATCATCGTCAGAATCGTCGTCCTCGTCCTCGTCTCCGTCTCTTGCAGACCTAGCATAAGGTGAGTACATTATCAGATGCGTGATGGCACGGGACATACCACTTAGAAGGCGTCGCTTTCTTGAAGTCGCCGTCGAGTGGCTCGAGGTCGCGAGAAAAGTTGCGCCCGCCACCACGTTTCGTTTTGAACTTGCCTGATCCACGAACCATAATATTCAGCTCCGATGCAAGTACAACTAGTCGACAACGGAAAGAAGAACGGAGCACAAGAGAAATAAAAATTGGCTTGCGTGTCAATCCTGACAATTAATGACTCCTGAAATGCAGCGGAAAGCCTCCGGGAATCACGTGATCTACCAGTGCAGGCACCTGATGCTCATCGCACGCGTCAGAGGGAGACGCGCCTTGTCCTCTACTCTTCTCCTTGCTCATATTAACATCAACACTCAACATGGCAAACACTGCGCTTGCCAGCAACTTTCGTTCAGAGCGCGATAAGCGTAAGAATGCCCGTCGACGAGATCGAGGTGGCATCTTTCAACCTCTCGAGAAGAATGCAATGCTCGACATGCTCATGGCGAGACGGAAGTCAGGGCGATTGAGTCTTTCGGCATTTCCGATCGAGGATGATGAAGAGGATACGGCGCCCTCTACATCACCAAGCGTTTGCGATGATGAGTTTGAGAAGGAGATGCGCTGTGGAGTGCTGGACAACCCGATGGATAGCCCTTGGGGAAAACGTCGGGGCACAAACAGGACTAATGTGCGACACCCCATATTAGACTTAACAGAACCATCATAATACTTCTTAGGATGAACTAGAAGCGCAATGTTCTTCTCCCTCTTCAATCAAGTCTACTCGTGCGCAGGCTGTGCGGCCTGCAAGCACGGGCAAGATCCCGACCAAAGATACCACACGACCACCCCAGCGGCAGTCAACTTCTGAACCGGAAGGAGAGAGCGCACCGAGCGAAGTCACTATCATGGCGCAGGATGTGAGGCCTGCAAGCACGGTCAAGATGTCGACCAAAGATACCACACGACCACCCCAGCGGCAGTCAACTTCTGAACCGGAAGGAGAGAGCGCATCAAACGAAGTCACTATCATGAAGTCGATTGATGAGAAGATTAATAGAAGAAGATCTGTCGCACGTCCTGCTTCTTCTCCAGCATCTATCAGTCCTCCCACATTACCCAAGGCTCCTGAATCACCGCAAATGAACAAGTCCGATACAATTTCCGAGCCCTCTGCAGAGTATTACGATGACGGATGGGACGTCGCTCCCGAAACGTCCAACCATAAAAGTTCTTGGGTAGACGAGTCGATCCCACACAGGACGTTTACCTCTGTCCCAAAGAAAGCTCCCAAATCAGCTGACTGGTCTCGAAAACCTGGGAGAAATGGGCTAGCCTCGAAAGCTGAGCCCACCAAGTAAGTAAACAGATTTGTGTTCCAGGCGTGGGTCTGATTTTACGTTAGGATCCGACCTCCACGTAAATCCCTTCAAAGTCCGAAGGGGAGACAAACAAAGAAACCGACTGTCATCGCTGTCGAATCCGATGATGAAGAGGAAGTTACAGACACGGTCGACAATTTCATAGAAAGCTTTACGGAACTACACATCGAAACAGAATCTGAAAATGAAGATTCTAACGACTCTTACGTGGCGCCCGAAGAGTCAGAAGAATCCAGCTCGTCTGACTCCTTAGATAACAGGTCGATCGGGGATGACGATGACAGCGATGACCGATTATTTTGCTCCCCGCCCGTGCCCTCTCCGCCCGGCACAAGAACGCATAAGAGGAACACAATCCCAATAGTGGTGATTTACCCTGTTCAACCCCCCATCAGGCGCAGACGACAATACAACAAGAACACCCGTACGAGGAGGACCACCAAGGTAGCATCAATTTGAGAATCACGATACGCACGTTGACACCTTGGACAGGACAACACTCGCGAGATCCCAGGAGCAGCCAGCGATCTTGCAACGCACGGAAATCGACGGCACACAATATTTGTTCCACAAACAGGGGAGGAGTCGGAAGATGAGCTCGACATCCTCTAATAATATTCCTGCCAGCCACCCTTGTTGTATTTCTCGTTCACACAATTGTGGATACCCTAATTCGCAATATCGTATCAATGGAAGCAATCAATTTCGGCGACCTCAGCGAGGTTGTACGAGCTAGCGTGTATGAGTAAACTACTGTAGAAGGATCAACAAGAATCAAGCAAGTAACTAACAAGGAGCACTTTCGGACACCGCACGAGTTCTGAGGCAGAAACCCTAATTCAGTTGTCGTAAGGAGGGGTCATGGCGTTGTCGCGGATGTCCGGCTTAGCGCTCTCCTCCTTAACTTCACCGTTGGGCTTTTTATCAGCCTCTTTCCCGTCACGACGGGAGTCACCATTGGGCTCCTTTTCGCGATCCTTCCGGTCATCGCGATCTCTGTCCCGCCTGTCATCCCTATCCCTGTCGCGACGATCATCACGATCGCGATCGCGATCCCTGTCCCTCTCATCTCTGTCCCTGTCCCTCCTGTCATCGTCCCTGTCTCTGTCGCGCCTGTCACGGTCACGGTCGCGATCGTCGTCCCTGCGCCGAGGAGGCGAACGTGAACGACGTCTATCACGGTCACGGTCATCGTCCCTGCGGCGCGGGGGAGAGCGATCACGGCGAGGACGGTCATCCAGGCGCCAAATGGCAGAAGGGGGATTCTTCGCCCACTGGACGGTAATGCGGCGGTCGTCAATGCGGGCGCCATGCCTAATAGGACGTGAGGAACTGTTAGGGGAGCGTTCAGCTTACTCACATGTCGTAGTAAGCATCTTCGGCATCACGTTCATACCTGAACTCGACGAAGGCATACCTGTCGGACAACGAGAATCGACGGTGAGTTTCTCGCACGTACACTGAGTGGCCGGAACAAGCTCGAATCGGAATCGGGAATTCTACACTAAACTCGCGCTCGTGCTCGTGCTCGTAACGCTCGAAGACACAAGGGACGTATACTGACTCGATCGAAACTCGACTGGTACTGGCCCATCGCGAAGAGAGAGGAGCGGTTCGCTCTTGTTGTTATATGGTGGGAAGCGAAAGATGTTCGGGAAATCGACCGGCTCTACCGGAAAAGACTTATAGCAGTAGGCAAGCACGATACTCACGGGTTTGCATTTGGGTTACGCGTCGCGGGGACGTCGCACCTAACGAGAGGGCCGTACCTGTGCAATAAGGTTAGCACCAAACAACAAAACCAGAATAGGCGTGACGCACTTCTCAAACTCGTACGCTAGGTCCTTGGCGCGAGTGTGAGAAGAGAAACCGCTCACAAACAAAATACGAGGCATTCCACGGGGCATTTTTTTAGTTATTCAAGCAGGAATAATTCAATGGAGTTGGAGGAAATGGACTGTTCTTGGACGTTCGAAGTCAAGATGAGTCGAAAGGGAAAAGAGGCGTGTGAAAGGTGTGGCGCTTATACCGGAAGTAAATCTTGTCTTCCAAATAACTCCGCGGAAACATCGAGAATCACATGTGTTCGCCAAGGGTCAAAATTTAGAAATTTAACAAGCGCACGCATATTCTCAAGTTTGTGGTTCTCCGTTGAGCCTTGGGCGACATGGCCTCTTCTCTCGCTCAACAACTAAAGCAAACTGCTTCTCTCAATGCTACACTCTTCAAAAATGCCGCTAATCGTATTAACAAGCGGGATTCATACCTCTTCACCCCACAGGAAGCGTCACGGCACGACCCCGAGTCTATCCATGGCTTTGCTTACAATGCTTTCTTACAACTGGAGGCTCTCGATTCAAGATTTTCTGCCTACGAAGATGACATATTCTCTGAAGCGGTTAAGATGCAAGATCGAACTCTCCTCAACCCATCCGAAGCCGAAAAGCTGAATGCATCGCTTGACTCGTTCCTACGCTTGCTCTCCGGCCACATATTCATAGAGGCGAGCAGTCGGGTCCTCGAATGGCTTGTCCGACATTTCCGTATCACCGAGTTCAATATCGATGGCGTTATGGAATGTTTCTTGCCGTACCATGATTCGCCTTTGTTCGTGCGTATCTTGTCGATTCTTCACCTTAATAGATCCGCTGGCGGCATCAATTGGACCTTCCTGGAGGCGTTCAAAAAGATCAATCAATCCATGCCCAGAGATTCACTCCTTCTTGCGATGGAGAAGGATTCAGAGCTGCTGCGGTTTGTCGTGAACATGCTTCCTAAAGGATTGGAAGAAAGCACCGCCCATCGAGCATTGATCAACTTTTACACGGTCACACTGCTCGGTTTTATCAAGAGACAAAAGACAATCGATGAAAACATATCTGCCATACTTCTTCCAGCATTCTCTCGGATACCAGATTACAGTGACGTAGATGCAAGGGTATGTAAATCGTTCGTGCAGGCCGCAGTAGATAATGAGATTTTTGTAGCTCGGGGCCTACATGGTGCTCGTCTCGCTTTCACGGAAGACACGATTCACATCGAAGGCCCTCAAAGTACTGGTTACGGCTATCACAAAATCGCATCATTCCGACGGGGACGCGGCACATCTTATCTCAGCAGTTGTTGCTATCTGCGCGTCTCAGGACGAGCTGGACAGCATCCAGAAGAAAGCCGCGAGCGCGCTCGCCGACATCCCAGAGATCGAGATTTGGTTGACCGAAGCGACTACCATAATGGGTTCCGAGACCTTCCTACGACCGCTCATTACTACCATGAGCTCGCATCTCGATCTTACAAGATATTCGACTGTCTTGGCGTCGCTTTTCCAAAGCAACAACTTACCGCAGGTGCTTGTAGCGCATGCGTGCAGCACCATTGCACGTCGTTTGGCTGAAGCGACCCGCGAAAACTCCTCTCAGCTGGATGCGATCAAAGATCTGGGAGTCTGTCTCCAGCAAAGACATCCCCAAGCATTCGCCGTTGCTGTTCAGTCCTTCAAGGAGGCCGAGAATTCTGACCTCATCCAATCACTGGAAGGCGTGCTTGCTAATCTCACCGTGGCAGAAGCCCATGCAGGAGATGCGGAACAATCGATTGTGTTGGGTGCCTTTAGTGCTGATACTGCTGTACGAGCGTCCAGCACGCGTCAGCTTCTGGATTCTTTCACAAACAAGGAAGACTTGGCACCAAATGTTCTTACCTCGCTTTGCTCGGCGTTGTTGGCGCGCGTGGCGGACAGCGAGAGCGAAGTGTTAGAGGTCCTTTATGCCGATCCCGACAGGCTGCTTGATGCTGTATCCCATGACAATCTTTATGCCGCCATCAGAGATGCCGTCGCACGCGACTTACCGAAGAAACAATTACTGACCCATCTGGACTTCATCGCCTCTAGTCTGCTTATTCAACATACGGAACTGAGCAGCGCTGCTTTCTTCGACGTGTTCTTGCCCCATCTGCTCTTCACCAAAACGAATAACAAAACTAGTTCTGCTGTATGGGACCTTCTTTTGAAGAGCGAATTATCACGCCTTCCTTTGCTCCAGGGTGTTGCGGACCTATTTAAAAACGGGGCGGTGGACGACGATGAGACCAGGCACGACCGTCTAGCCGAAATCAATTTATTCGTTGCCAAGAAAATCGCAGGTCAGTGCAAATGATTCACAAGGACGGAGAGCGCTGGCTGATAGTTTTACGTCAGACAACCTTGTCAGCTCGGACCATTATAAAGATCTAGTGAACTCATTCATCAAGAAGACATCAGAAGGCCCATTGAATTCGCAGTTGTTCGCAAGTTTAGTCATTCATGCCCTATTAGCTCGGGTTTCCGGTGAACATCAAGTGGATTTGGGCTACGAAGTTCTTGCGTTCCTCCGGACACATTCGCAGTCAACTTTTGTTGCAGATGAAGATACAACCACGGTTAGCATCTAGCTGTCGTCTATCCATTTCCGTCCCTGAAATTATCTGCAGAAATTAGCCGAGGACATTTACACCCGATCTAAGGCAGCTCGCACAATACGACAATTACAAATCGCTCTGCTTTACTCTGTAGCTGAAGTAGGCCGACCCGTCAACGTGAAGTTCGATTTCTTGTGCGATGTTGAGGCTGTAAGTCTCATTACCCCCCGGTTGAACTTGCGTTTGATCCATTTTCCAGGTGACAGAGAATGATGGTCGAGGCATGCGATATGCCGCCCTTTCCAGAGCCGTGTTTCGATTCTCAAATCAAGATGGGGTGTCTTCTCCTGCTCGAACAAAATGTCTCATAAGACTCTTCAAAACTCTTGGAGATGACTGTCTGGCAGTGTTATCTGGCATTTGGGCGGATCATTCAACTCCTCCACAAACAAGAGCTGCTGCGTTGTCCCTTGGCAGCGCTATGCTTCAGTCTGTCGAGTCCGACGACACCATCGACTATCAAGTTGTCTTGCCTTCCGTACTTGTCTCTCTCAGCGATCCCTCCGTAATTGTCCGTGAAGGAGGCATTCAATGCCTTAAGGTGCTGGCCGGTCTTTTTAGATCCCACAAGAAGCCCAAGGCTATCTTTGCGATTGACGCGTTGTATGGACTGCAGTCTTCACACGTCCAGTATCTCGAACACAATGACACTGCACAGTACATCGAAATTTTGCTGCAACACAGTGATGAAATTCTTCTCGATGGATCTGTTCTTCAGGGCATTCATTCTGCGTCACTAATGAAAGAGAAAGGAGAAGGAAAGAAAAAGACAACATTCAAGGAGAAAGTTCTATATTTCCTCTTGTCACACATCGTCGCGTGGCGCAGCGCTCATGCCAGGACAACGCTTCTCTGGCTCATTTGCAATGTCCACTCCGCTATCAAACTTGAGATGCTGCTGCCCTTCTTGCAGAAGACTGTTTCGGCGATCCAAGAGAATCAAGCGGCACATCATGACCTAGTGCAACCACTCTCAGCTTCTGTGTCCCGGAATCTCCTGAACATCTTCGACGACACTGCAGTTTCATCATTGAACGACCAAGCAAACGATAGTTTTGCTGTTCTGAAAACATGCATCTCGATTCCCTTGGAAAATGGTGCGTGCCTCTCACTCTCGCTTCAGGATGAACTAATTGTCCTTAGCCTTCGAACGATCCGTATATGACGGCACTCTCGATGTTCTGAGATCTTCGATAACGAAAGAAATCATGATTGAGAGAGCAATTGAATTGCTTCAACTCTGTGTAGAAACGATCGTTGCATCAGAACAGGTCTGTGGCGGCGTCTCAATGAGATTGAATGCTAACGCGATGGCTTGAAAGGCACATATTGTCCTGAAGCAAGTGATCTCCGATCTACTAGTCGATACCGTTGTTATCGCAGCCTTGATCAGAAGTATGCGCCCCACTGACGACACGTCTGAACCGTCGGCAAAGCGACCTAAGACAGATAACTTGTGATTTCTGAACCACGCAAATGCCGAATTTCTTGACTGACTCTTCTACTAGCGTCTCTGAATCCGCTAGATCTTCTATCCGTCAACTCTCTCTCCTTGTTGAGATCGTCTCAACGAAGAGCCTTCCCGGTGACATCAACCTCATTTCAGTCTTGCTTGAAACTCTCGGCATGCTGGTCAATTCTCCGAGCCTTTCCAGTGTGGATGTCGATTACACCTTACAGCTTATCTTGTTGGCTATCATGAACAATGCTTTTGCTGTTCAGGTCCGTGTATCGTCATTTCATCCGTCCTGTACTCGATTCCTGAAATTTTACAGAACGATGTGTCCCACTCCTCTAATTCCCTGAGAATAGATATTGTCGTTGATCTGATTCGCAGTGAGCTAAACACAACATTATCTTCTTGTCGGCGTGCTGACATCACTCCAGCGACAGCCAACCCTCAGACCTCCCGTCAGGCCCTCTTGACTGTAGGAAGTCTGGCCCGATTGTCCAACGACTCCGTCTTGCACAACATCATGCCGATCTTTATGTTCATGGGCTCTACGGTGTTCCAAAACGATGACGCTTATAGTTTCAGCGTCATCTCCAAGGTACAGGCTTCCGAATTGCGTCTTCTGTGGCTTAGCTTACTTGTGGCGACAGACTATCGACAGCATTGTGCCAGTCATGGCGAATTCACTGAAAGAACAGCGAACTACTCAGTTCGACCTCTACCAGCGTAGGCTTTACTGCGATTGAATAGCGCCCCACTCACTGGCTTGAACAGGTTCGCGCGAGTTCCTTCGTGTATTCACTGATGCATCAACACACATTCCGCGCCACCGGCGGTCGAAGTTTTTCATTCATCTCGTGGACGTGTTGGGACCTCAGGATTTCCTGGTTCCCATATGTCTATTGCTTGTGGACAACACGGCCTTCCGCGTCGTGAAGCAGAAGGCTATCGACGTCCCCTCCACATTCGCTATTCCTTTGGCGTGCTTACAGAAGAGAACTATATCTGAAAGGCTATCGGTATGGCTTTATATGCCTGTGTATCAGGCTCGACCTCACCTTTCTTCCCAGGTTTTGCAGGAGGTCATGGAGGAAGCTAAGCGGCTTAGCAAGAAGCTAGCAGATGCGAGTCACGCGGAACCAGTGACATTCTTGGACATGTCAAAGTAAGCTCCCGCTTGTCGACGGCCTTTCATTGTCCAATGACTGTGTCCAGGTCGATTGATGCGCGAGAACGGATACCTAAACCTGACGTGGCCCTCACGCGACAAATTCAGGCGCTCCTTCTTTTTGTGGGAACAGCTATAGAGTTATTGAAGACACCTCAAGGAGTGGAGGACAGCGAATTGGATGCTTCAATGAAGCGTTTTGTCTTCCAGCTCTTGGAGTTGGCACAAGACCCGACGGAAGGGAAGCGAGATGCGGTCATCTCGACAACTGCCTTTGCGGCCTTGGATAAGGCCATGTCTATTATCTCTGTGCCGACATTTTCTCACGCCATCCTGAACATGCTGGACACCGACGATACAGGAGTAAGGCCTCGGCTAACGTTGAGAGTCGTATTGCTGACGTAGAATTTAGCTGCAGCGCGCTGCATTGTCCCTCATTTCGCGACTCAACAATGTCACTGCCAAAGGTCGACGGGGTATTGCCGCGACAATGGCGAATATCATTGCCCGCGTCGTTTCTCTGGTCGTCAAGTTCCAGAAGGACTCGGCAAGTGTCGTTGCCTTGCAGGCGATGGACATTATTGCACGAACTGCGATGGCAGGTGAAGAGAGCGCCCTCGCCCAAGCTGCTGGCCCATTGACGCAGTTTGCTGCCCGTCAAGTGGTACAACAGCAGCTCTCGGTACTGAACATACTTGATATTCTTTTGTACGCTCTATTTCCTTCTATGAAGAGACATGCTGATAATTTCTCAGGGGAAAACTCGGTCCGAGGCTGATCCCGAACCTGCTTCCTATTATCGAACTCTGCACGTCCATCATTTCCACGTCCGACGAAGTGGATCTACGGGTCAAGGCATTCACCGTCCCTTCAAGTGTGCTCAAAGCACTTCCCAACTTCGTCGGCTCCTACTTGTCGCGTGTCCTTGATGCCGGCCTTGACGTCTCTCGGGCTCTGCCGATTGAGGTCGAGTCCGCCCGCGTTGCATTGCTTCGCACTACAGCAAAGCAGATCAAAGGCCGGACGCTCCTCCCTGCTCTTGAGAAGGCCTGGCAAGTAACTGCTTCGCGTGAAGCCCCGTCCGTTAAGTTCCTCGGGCTCTACTCCGACCTGCTGCAGAGATCACTTCGTGCAGCGGACCGAGCGGACGTCCTCGGCGAATTGCGCCCGCTTTTCAAGCTTTTCCTCGATATCTTCGACGTCCGCTCCTCGTATGTCATCGCAGAAGCGAGCGCCGAGTTTGCGGCAGTCGAGAGCGTCGCTTTGTCCGCGTTCTTACAGGTCGTGGTCAAACTAAGCGATACCGCCTTCAGACCGCTTTTCAGGAAACTGTATGACTGGCATCTCGAGGGAGGCAAGACGGCGCGAGGGATCACGTTCTATCGCTTAGTCGGGTCTCTCTTAGACCAGCTGAAGGAGATCATCACCCCGTATATGGCGATTCTGTTTGACCGAACAGTGGAGTTGCTGAGGGAATACGCCACGGGACAGGCGGAGAGCGGAGAGCTGTGGCTGGAGATGATCGACGTCCTCAGGAAGTCGTTCGAATATGATGATGGAGGTTCGTCCATATTTACTGTTCATTACGTCCCTTGTATTCACTGCTTCCCAGGGTTCTGGAGAGACAATACCATGATGAAAATCATGTCCCCTCTGGTGGATCAGATCGACGTATGCCCTCGTATTACCCGTTCCTCTTGCTCCAGCACAACGCCGAACAACGCACTAACCGCCTGCCTGTCGACCATGTGCAAGTCGGCGAGTGACGATACGGCGAAAGCGCTCAACCTCGCCGTGTGGATGAAAGCCCGCTCCGAGGTCGTCCAGACCAAGTTGTGTATGTTATCCTGTGCACAGGCCCTCTGGAAGCGGGACGGTGAGCGGTTATCCACTGCGGGGTATGCAGCGGAGACGGTGGCGTTCCTTGTAGAATGTCTGGAGGACGCCAGCGAGGTGGTCGAGAACGAAGCGCGGGTATTCCAACGACAGCTCACCAAACTCGTGGGACCGCTCGACGCACTCATCGATTAGGAACCTCGGTTCCACTGTTCCCCATCCCCGAAATTCACCTACCCAAAATCACCATTGGTGTTGACCCCTGGTATCATCTACTAGTATATCCCATACCTATTTAAATCAGGAAGGGGGCAATGACAATATTACACCGCGGAGTGATGATTATATTAGAGTATGAAAAGCCATGCGCGGGTGGGCAAAATCAGAGGCAATAATGCCCGCACTAATACTACTATCGGGCTTTTCATACTACATTGTCTCCTCTCCCTCGAACCACCACCATCAATCAAAGTTGAACAACTGCTCGTGATGTCCCTCAGCTGCTATCTCACCCCCGTCCACTCGCTTCGGCTGCATTCTCCCAGACTTTCAAGATGTCAGCGACCTTCCCCCTGCCCTATCGATCGTCGGAACCTGAAATGAGCGAGCGCCTATACCCTCTACATTGTTGATCTCCTTTGCATCAACCATCATGTCCAGCCCCTTGTCCGCTCCTCTGACATCCCCGTCGCCGTCTGATGATGATATCCCGGGTATCTTCATGTCGACCCAGCAAGTCTTGAATGCTGTTGCATAGCGGCCGTTGCAAACCCCCCCTTAGCGTGCAGGGCGTCATGAGCGTGCTGCCATCAATTGGGTAAACAGTGTCCTCAACAAAATACTATGGCGTTCTGAACACAATCCTCCCGGCCGAACATAGCGCAATGGGAGAAAGCTCACACTCAAATTCGCACTCGGTTCTAAACTATCGGCGATCACCGTCTCCCATTCTTCGCCGTGTCGACGTTTGGACAATGGGCGTCTTCCTACCAGCTTGGCCCGCAATGCATAATTCCAACCGCCGCCTCCCAACCCTCAGGCTATCCCGATCATGAATCCTATAGGCGCTGAAACGAAAATGTGCAGGGCATTACATGTAATCTCGACTTGGGATGCTGCAGCCCCTGATGGGGGTTGCTAGGGTACGGAGTGCGGGCGCTAGAAGTTTACTGTGTGGGATGAGACGCCTGTTTCCCAGGCTGGGCTATCGAGAGAAGTTCTGTAACCAGGACACGCATGGAAAGGGGTAAACAGGATACGACGTTTTTCCATTTTTGTTTTTAGTACTCCGGATCCTTTGGTGCATGAGCGATGTTGGTTCCCGGTTGTTTGAAGGCGCGAGCCAATCACGCGCCGACGGATAACCTTGATCTCCTGGATCTGGTCGCTTCCCCTAGACGGAAGCAATCGGCTTCCGTGCCGGCGGTGTTGGGGAAGCAGAGGTGTGAGCGGCGGTGCGGGCACAGAAGGAGAGTTTAATTGGTGTGTGGAGAAGGAAATGGTAGGAAGTAGGAAGTAGTTGCTAATAAAGGAGTAGTAGTTCCTGTAGAGAGTTGCAAGGATTGATGTGCGATAAGTGTTGAGTAAAGCTTCAAGGTGAACCTCCGAGACCAACGCCGTTCATTCTGTCTCGGTCTCGGCCTTGGACCCTTCCCCGCGCGAGAAAGAGGGCGGCGTGGCGTGTGAGCCTGTTTATGGGAAGGCGTTCAAGGTTAGGGCGTTCATCGGATTTTGTGTGTTACGGTCGGATGGTATTCGCGTGCTGAAGATTTGGGTAAATGGGAGTGTATGCGTGTGGGGGGAGATGAAGGGAAGGGGAGTGCGTGATATGTACGCAAAATCCCATTCTGTTGTTCTTATTACTGATGAGGAATAATGAGGAGTGACCAAATTCGGTATTGTCTTGTCTATATTTGTTTGGGTGAGCGAAGTACTTTTTGTCTCACTCTCTTTTTGGTTCTTTCAACGATCCGATCCTTCTTAAACGTCTCACTCGTGTCTTACCGCCGATCGACTGTCTCACTCTTTTCGGCACTTTTTACATCTCAAAAAAGTATTAAACATCGCAAAGTTGAAATCAAATCATTCGCCCCTTCTTTCTTAACCACCACCATCCCCCCAACTTCCCCTCCTACCGTCTCCCCCTCTTCCTCCCCCCCTCCCTCTTCCCTTCCATCTCCCCTACCCCTCCAAACCCACAACAATGAACCCACCATTCCCAGTATCTCCCTCGCAATCTCAAGCAAAGATAGACCAAGTCCTCGATCGTTTACAACGTCTCGCTCTCGAATCTAGCGCCCCAATCCCTCACCCGCCCATACCATCCCACTCCCAGCTCCACATCCATCAACACCACCTCGCTCAAGCCCACTCCCAAGCAAAAGACACCGACAGCCTCTCCTCCCACTCGTCGCACACCCACTCGCACACCTTATCCAGTACAACAGGTACAACCTCCAGCGCCTCCTCTTCCCCTCCCTCAGCAGCACCACAATCTTCCCCCTACCCCTCCCCGCAGATCCCGGCCTTTCCCCCTCAGCCAGCACACTTCCACCCCCAGCATGCCGTCAACCCTAACCTAGCGAACGTCGCTTCCCTCTACAGGCTTGGCGTGCCCTCCCGCCTCCAGATGCCCGCGTTCGACGGCAGGTGCTCACCCCTCCCGGGAGATATGGGCATGCTCACTCCCGGATCGGCGAGTCTCCCTCTGGGGATGGGGATGGGGATGGGGGGAAACCCGGGTATGGGCCAGAATGCACCCATGCCCGTGGGGGCCCCGCAGATGGGAGGCGCGAGCGGGAAAGCATACTCTTACAGACCTGGAGACTGGATATGTGTTTCCCCCGCATGCAGTTATCCCAATTTCGGGTGAGTCTTCTTTCTTCCAGCACTGACTAACTAACTGACTGCTGACGACGTATTGTAGGAGAAACGAATACTGTAACGCCTGTCGCTCCCCGCGGCCGTCGGCCACTGGAGGGGGTATGCCACGCGCCCCTCCTCCTGCGGGGCTGTACTTTGGCCCTGGGGAAGCCCCGAGGTTTGCGGCGGGGAGGATGAATGGGTTGCCCCTGGGCACAGGAGGAGGGGTGGGCACGGTGTATAATCCTGCTGTGGGGCTTGTGCCTGCCGGGGGTGTAGGAATGGGGAACTTGGGCGCTCCCGGTATCCCTGGGGTTACCGGGGTTACTGGAAGCGCTGAAAGTGGTAGGAGCCCAATGATCGTCACCCCCTCCGGGAGGGCGTTCGCAAGTACCGGAACGAGGAAGAACATCTCAGGGGACGACCTAAACCCAGTAGTGATCTTCTGGCCAGACAAGTGCGTCCCCTCTGGCTGCTACGATCGATGCTGATCCCAGGGGAAGCGAACCGATGCCTGAGCTCGGACAGGTCAGACCGTGCATGTTGGGTTTGGCCCAACCGCCGATCTTGAATACTGGCAATAAGGGCCCGATAGAGCACCAGCCTGGAGACTGGTATTGTCAGAAATGCGAGCATCTGGTACGTCCTCCCTCCGCGTCTGTGAGCAGCATGCTGAGAAACTTACGCGGCACAGAACTGGCGCAGAAGGAAAGTCTGCCAGAACTGTTACCGGTTTGCAGAAGGGAACGAAGACGACACCACCCTCGCCCGGCAGGCAGAATGTATCAGCGTGCTTATCGCTCAGCTCGTAGCGGCCAAAAAAGCCCAGGAAGCGGGGGTGTTGCTCAACTTGAGCGGGATGATGGGCGTTCCTGCTCCCCTTGCCCCTCCCGCTCCCGTGCCCGTGCCCGCTCCTGCACCTGCTCTTGCTCTGGGCACAGCGTCGAGCTCGGATGGCCAGCTCACTCCCTGCCCTAAGACGCAAGAAACTTACTTCTCCCCTCCGAGTGAACGACGCCCACAACCTGCCCTCGTTCAGGTCCCAGCCCCAGTCCCAGTCCCTGCCCAGCGCCGACCCCTCCCTGCCACCGGGGTGCTCTATACCCCTCCAGCGCTGGCCGCTGCACAGGCCTACGAGCCCTACTCCCCCCCTCCGCTAGCTCGGAAGCCTGCCTCAGCCCCGCTTAGCGCAAGCCCTATCTCCCCTCTCCGAATGCCCCCTGCCGCCCCTCTAGCGCCAATCAACACCTCCCCCACCCTCCTTCGCTCCGTCCCCAACCCCAACGCGAGCGCAAGCGCAGGAGGAAAACGTCTCTCCCCCTCTCTAACCCCCCTCGACCCAAAATCCGCCCGAACGATCTGGGCGCCCTCCTCTGCCTCCGGCTCTCCCCCCAAATCAGCACGAACCAACATCTGGGGCCCAGCGAGCTCCGTATCCTCCGGTTCACCGCCTAGCCGATGGCCGGATTTTGCCCTTCCGGGGAAGATGATGCAAGGGACTCCTAGCCCTAGGGGGAGCATTGCCGAGTCTGCTTGTGGGAGCACGAGCGCGAGTGGCGGGAGCGGGAGCGTGTGTGATGCTCCGAGGATGGGGAACGCCCCTGCCTGTGGGCCAGGGATGAGCCCTGTTGCGAGCCCACCGACTGCGGGGGGGTATAAGACTCACCCTAGGCTCGCCGGGCTGTTGTCGTGATGTTTAGACATTAGGATGGCGGATGAACAAGGAGGGAGAGGACGGCGGAAGTTGGAGTGGAGGAGGAAGAGGAGGAGGAGGAGGTAGACGCTTGGTCTGTCGTGTTGTGTTGTGTGGGCCACGGCTGGACGGAACCCAATGTTCAGTTCCAATCCCTTTAACCCTGGTTATTCCCTTTTCGTTCATCTTTTCCTCGACTCTGTTCATTTTATCTTCTTTTCCATCTATCATTTCATCCTTTCCCCAGCAGCCGCCCAAAACCGCCTTTTGACACATGCTTGTACCCCTTAACCATCTCGCGGCTGCTGGTTGTCTCTCGAATACCTACCCAACTACCTTACCTCTTTGTTATTCCGGCTTTCGGGCTTCTGGTTTTCTGGTTTATAGATTACCTGTTTTTCAGTTTCTTTGGATTGTACTCCCCTCTCTCGGACTAGTCTTATCACGATGAGTTGATGCACGCGGATGACTAACTGTTAGTCAGGACGGGAATCCCCAACAATCTCAGGCTCCGGGCCTTACGTCTCAGGTCAGGAATCAGGTCATGTGCCAGGGCCTTTTATCCGCAACAACCACACCGAGTATCACGGACTAATGAACGGAGATGATTTCAGATGAATGAGGCTGACAACACTGCAGTTGTTGCCTCTTGAAAGGCACGAGATGGCAGGAGAAGGCTTGGCGAACTCGGAAGTGGCTTGGCGCCGTTTCGACCGAAGCGTGCAAGCCTCCGTATTGAGCACTTGACTGGCTTGCAAGTGCTTGAGGGCTTCTGCAAACCTGGAATTTTGTCGGCATCGAATTGACTTTGAAATGAACTAGATGGTATGCTGACGTGGCGCCTACACATGACGGCCTTTCCCGCCTTAGCAAGTGCCAGACGTCGCACGCGTCATCCGTTTACCTTCCCCACAGAAGCCAAAGAGGCGCGGCGGTGCTGAAAGGCTTGGTACAACAGATCCCACGCCAGCTGTCTTTCTACCTGCCGTCAACGGCACACACCTCCCACTACAGTACCCATGACTGCCTCACCTTCCTGCCTCCCCCGCACAGGCCTGGAAAGACAATCATCGCTTGCATGCCGACCACGCCGGAGCAACAGCCCGCCTCTCGCCCCGCAGAGAAGGACGTGTCGCTTCTGCTTGGAACCGAATGGTGCAACTGAATTAAGGTACGCTCGGGGTTTCGGCGCTCTGTTGCTCGGCTCATTTTGGGCAGCTGGCACGAAGACGGCTGGATTAACGCCTTCGAGTCTCGCTGGTTGGTTATAAAGGATGAGAGTGCAGGTGATGACAGTACTTCGAGCCTTTCTCCCCATTGCATCATAACGGCCACAGCAATATTCGAGCCGATACAACTCTCCGATGCTGGCAACCACCGTTATTGTCAGCCTTCTATGCGCGGCATTCGCGCAAGCCGCTCCTGTCGCTAACGTGACCTTGGTGAAGAGGACGACGCTTCCCCTTGGGGAACGGTCAGCCCTGTCCCTATCCGGCCGGCAGGGGGAGGCGAACGTCTTCAGTTCCTGTGTAGTGGAGAACATGGTCGCGCTCACGTTCGACGACGGGCCGTACATCTACGAGCAGGATATCCTCAACACGCTCAACGCCGCCGGGATCAAGGGCACGTTTTTCGTCAATGGGAATAACTGGGGGTGTATCTATGACCAGTGGCAGAGCTTGCAGGATGCGTACTGGGGAGGACACCAGATTGGGAGTCATACGTGGGATCACCCGGATTTGACGACCTTGAGCTGGGACCAGGTGAGCATGATGCATTATGCATTATGCAAACCGGAGGACGTTCAGCTGACTAGCGCAGATCGACCAGGAGTTCAGTAGTGTTGAGCGTATGTCCATGTTTGGCGATCTCGATCTGGGGCTGCAGCTGACTTGAGGAATAGAAGCGATCCAGAAGATCGTTGGCGCCCAGCCGGCGTTTTTCCGTCCGGTGAGTCGATGTCCTTTCCTTTATGTATGCGCTGACGACTTCCTACAGCCCTATGGCTCGTACAACGACGAAGTGTTGCAGATCGCTGCCAACCACGGGATGAATGGTGTGTGCTTCTACTCATGATCCATACCCTCATGTCCTGAGTCTTCCTCGTCTAGTTATCCTCTGGGACCTCGACTCTGGCGATAGCACGGGCGAGCCCGTATGGTACTCTGAGCAACAGTACGACGCCGTCGCGGCCTCGCACCCAAACACCGTCCTCGCTCTCAACCACGAGACATACGATACGACCGCCTACCAAGTCCTGCCGTACGCGATCCAGAAACTTAGGGATGCGGGGTATACGTTTGGCACGGTTGCGGAATGTGTTGGTGGGTTGGAAGCGTACCAGTGGACGAGCCAGCCGGGGACTTGGGACGTGAGTCTGTGCTGCTATATCGTGGTTATTGCCGCTTTAACTTCCTTTGCTAGGACTCGTGGCACTGCTAAATGCGTCACATGCGGAGTGCTATTGATGGACATTGGCATTTCTGGATTGTTCATACACTACTCAGGGTCGCAATGAGAAGTGTATAATTACCTAAAAATTTGGGTTACCATCAGGGTCTTTGTGAGCTTAAATTGCGTGCGCTGTTCAATGCGATTGCGTGACCATGTAATCACGCAACATCAATGTTCACCATGAAATACAAAATACAAAATAATAATAATTCACTGCTTCACTACCACCACTTTACACCGTCGACGTCGACGTTATACGGACGACGGGGTTCTGTTAGACTTTTTCCCACTCTCGAATACCCCAGAACGAAAGGATGTCTGGTAGCAACGGCAGCACTCCTCCACTCTCAGCAGTGACCACACTTGCCCCTCCCTCACCTTTCCCCATCACGTCGGCCGAACCGTGGTCTTCAACTCCCCTGCTTCAGCCATCCCTTCCTCTGCCATTCAACCTGACCGCCACCAAGAGCAAGAGCGCCACAAGCCTCCCCACGACCGCTGCGCACGCTATCGAAGCGCTCGCCTCGAGCTTGAGCTCTCACGTGTTCGTATACGACGATGCCCTCGGCTCCGGTTTTGGACAGGAATCGTTGACCTGGGGAATGGAGGGTAAAGCTGCCAAAGGGTGGGAAATGCAGGCCCGCCCAGGGGCGGGGCTTGTCCTCTTAGGGCGATTGGGTTCGCCCCTGGGGGGGAGCACGAGTGCTGCTAGTCAGGGTGGGGTCCTCACAGCGTTCGTGGGACCTCAAGGACTGGGCTTGATGAGCCAAACACTGGCCCAGCTCCCCGCTTCCGGAGAAGGGGGAAAGCTCGTTCTCCAGGTACCTGGTCTCTCGCCCCTCCCATCAGGAGCGTTCACTCCCTCCCTCTACTCGCTTACACCCGCCCTCTCCGGTGTCCCAACGGACTCTGAGAACCTTGCAGTGATCCTCTCCTCCACTCCTAAGGAAAGTGTCGCCCTCGCCGCTGCGGCGTACTCGGTGAAGCAGCACATCGTCCACGTATTCGACCATTCTTCCGCGCGAGAGCTGACAGCTCTCCCGGCTCCAAAACCCCTCGGAGGCGACCTGTCCCTCGCTACGGCATTCGATCGCCTCGGGGTCAAGTACTTCGACTACTTCGGAGATGCCTGTGCGGAATATGTGCTCGTTTGCCTAAACACGCCGCTTGCGCATGCCCTCAAGGCTTTCCTGGCCCAAACCCCTCGTGTGGGCCTGCTGGTCATACGTGTCCTTCGACCATGGGATGAAGTGACCTTCCTCTCCGCTCTCCCCAACAGCGCCAGGCACCTCCACGTTATCGACCATGTTGCAGACACATTCGACAGGGGCATCTTGTACGACGATGTCCTCGGTACTGTGCTCAGCGGGTCGGGCCTGACACACTCAGCAGTGCACAAGGTTGGCCTGTTGCCCGAAAAGCTGGTAGAGCACACCTCTAGACCTGCGCAGCTCATCGCCCGTCTCTATCCTGCTCTACCAGCCCCTGCCTCTGTACACGCTCAGGCTCAAGCGCAGGCGAAGAAGCTCGCCTTCTACACCGCTCCGAATTCGACATTGCAGGAGACGATCGCGCATACCTTCTTGCTCAGCAGCAGCGTCTCCACCCGCCTGTTGTCTGCTATCGACGCCTTTTCCCATGTTGGGGGAGTGGCCCTTCACAGGATGTTGTTGCATCGTGCCTCGGAAGATCTTGCCTCTGTCGAGCTGCCAGTGGACAACCTCTTCCCTATTGAGCAGGACAGCGCAGACTTTGTCGCCGTCGCTGACGCGTCGCTGCTCAAGACTCATGCCGTGCTCTCCTCTGCTCATCCTGACGCACAAGTGCTGATCAACACCTCCTGGTCAGCAGAAGAGCTTGCCGCGTCTCTCCCTCCCGCCACCCTTGCTCAAGTGGAGGCAAAACATCCCCACCTGTACACTTTCGACTTGCGTAAAGCTGCCGACTCGCTCATTGCCCTCGATGCTGGGAAAGAAGAGGCCCAAGAAGAGCTCGAGACCGTGCTCCAGCTAGTAGCCTTCCTCCGCCTTTACCTCGTTGGTGCAGGCGGGGAGACCGCTGTGGACAAGGTCGTCCGCGCGATCTACGGATCTTTCGTTGCCGGTGTAGCGCTCCCAGATGTCCTCAAAGCGGCTTGGGGAAATCTGCACGAGATTGTGCTGCCTAAATACGAGCCGGAGGAGAAGAAGACCAACGAGAACCCGCTCAAGTATTTCGAGTTCAACACTATCGCTGCTGCATCTGTGCCTGCTGCCAAGCCCGCGCCCGTACCCCGCGTGTCATCCTGGCACGAAGCTGCCAAGCTTCTTATGTTCCGTGAATCGACTCTCGTCCCTTCTACGACGGATACGACAGAGCAGCCCACTGCGTTGCGTCCCGAGACAGAAGAGCGGACTTATCTCGTCAAATGCACCGTCAACCGCCGCCTGACCCCCGTGACGTACGACCGCAACGTGTTCCACCTCGAGTTCGACAGTACTGGCACCGGGCTGAAGTATGCCGTCGGAGAGGCCCTCGGCATTCATGGGTGGAATGACGAACAGGAAGTGGCAGACTTCTGCAAATGGTACGGACTTGATCCCGACCAAGTTATATCTGTTCCTCTACCTGAGGGCTCGAGGGGTGCGCGTCATACTCGCACCATCTTCCAGACCTTGCAGCAGGTCGTCGACCTCTTCGGCAAGCCACCAAAGGGATTCTACGCCGCATTGGCCCTTCTGGCCAAAGACCGTCCTGATGCAATGGCCCTTCGGTTCATCTCCTCTGCAGAAGGCGCGTCAATGTTCAAGAAGCTCAGCGAGTTCGATACAGTGACGTTTGCCGACGTCCTCCGTATGTACCCTTCCGCGCACCCAAGCATCGAGCAACTTGTAGAACTCGTTGGGTTCATCAAGCCTCGCCACTATTCCATCGCTTCGTCGCAGGCAGTGGTGGGTAACCGCGTCGACCTGCTGGTCGTTACGGTGGATTGGGCCACTCCATCTGGGCCAATTCGCTATGGCCAGTGCACTCGCTACCTTGCTGCGCTCAAGGAGGGACAGAAGGTCACGGTCTCCATCAGGCCATCGGTGATGAAGCTCCCTCCTAGCGATAGGCAGCCCATCATCATGGCTGGATTAGGTACGGGTGCAGCGCCTTTCCGTGCCTTCATGCAGCACCGCGCTTGGCAAAAGTCCCACGGAATCGAGGTTGGACCGCTCATTTACTATTTCGGTTCTCGTCACCGCTCCAAGGAATATCTCTACGGAGAAGAAATTGAAGCCTACGTGAGTTTCTTCATCTGGCTCTCAAAGAAATGCTAATGTTTGGCGCAGTTGCGTGATGGCGTCATCACCCATGCTGGTCTTGCCTTCTCTCGTGACACAAACAAGAAAGTATATATCCAACACAAGATGCAGAACGATGGAAAGATGCTCAATACCATGCTTGCCGGAGAAGATGAGGGTGTCTTCTATCTTTGTGGACCAACATGGCCCGTTCCGGATGTTTATGAAGCACTTGTCAAGTCGCTGGTTCATCACGGAGAAAAGAAGAGGACGGAAGCTGAAGAATACTTGGAAGCTCTCAAGGAAGACGAGAGATATGTCCTTGAGGTGTATTAGAGCACATTCTCCTTTGTTTCTCTCTTTCTGTGGAGCAGGAGGAATATATATACTCGTTCAGTCCTTGGCGAAGTGCACAATCTAGATCCTTGCCAGCGAAGTCCTGTGGCATGATCAGTATACAGCCATAGCTGTTGCGCCGTCCACGTCGACAAATTCGGATTAGCTAGATGTGAGAGTATCGCATCGAATATCGGGTGGCTTTTCTTTTAAAATCTGATCACATCGGACATACATATGTTCGTGCAGCATCCGAGCAATGCTGATAGGATCGGTCCAATTTAGCACTTTTCGCACGATACGAATGTACAGCCGCGCGCAGAAGTCAGAACCTTTGGCGTCTTAGGACCATCTGCGATTCTTACAAACAAATGTTATTCTCATTTGAGAATCGGAAACTTGATCTTAAACAAGGGCTAGAAAAGGAGAGTGAAGAATTGTTTGAGGAAAGGAGCGAGAGCGAGGACACCAGCGTAGCGCAGCGATACATATTGCCGTTCTGAAGTTGACGTCTACGGCCTAATCCTACTCGCGGTGTTAGCCAGCTAGTTCTCTGACTACACAGAATGTTACTCGCCGGACACATATGTCCGAATTTGACAGAACTTGAACAGATTAGAAGTTGTGGAGGTAGTCACCGAAGGCAGCCTTCAGCGCGTTGCCCGCGAGATCCGCGACGTTACCGTAGCCGAAGTACCCGGCGAGCTTGGTACCCAAACCAAGGGCCTGGAGCTGCACGGTGCTGTTGACGAAGCGGTGCTTTGCGAATTCAGAATGCTTGGTGCAATATATGCAAGATGAAAGACTGTACCTGGTAGGGCTTGCGAGACTTATCGTGCCACACCAGGAAGCGGCCTTCTCCGTTTTTGCCCTTCTGACCGTACTGGAAGCGGCCATCGACCTTCATCTTGTAGTCTGTGAATGGTAAGAAGAGAATCGCACGCCGCAGCTCTTTAATTCCCACATTCAGTCCCGTCCACGGTCACCGTTTCAACGCCCTTGAAGTGAGATTCGTCCGCAAACTCAGAAGCGATATACAAAGGCACTTCATCCTTTTCTATTATTCGTGCTCAGTCCTGTATCTCCCCTGTATCTGTAGGACTCACGGTCATTGCCGGCCTTCGCCATGAAGAACTTGTAGTCTTTGGTGTACTCGGTCCAGCTCTGGCTCCAGGTGACGTGCACCGTAGGGGCGGCATTGTCGTGAGCTGGGATGAACACGAAATCGGAGAGCTGGATAGGTGCCATTGTGTCGAAGGACTGTCTTGAGGTTTGGTGCAAGGCTGAGGATCTGGGATGGGATTGGAGTGATATTGCAGAGGAAAGCGCAAGTCGTGCCTCTACTTATACCCTACCCCGGGTTGGCATTCCAGAAACTGCGCATGCGCCACGCTCTGCGACCGCAACAGACATGTTGGCTAGAACAATCCAAGGAAAGTGTCCTATGGTCATGAGGTCTCTTGCTCAGCCGGCGTACTGAAACCCCCGGTCTCTGTATTTCGATCATAGAACAAATCATACCCTTCTGTGCGGGAGATCGCATCATAGATATTCTCCACAAAGTGTCAAGGACGCCCAGAGCAGCATACAGACGTTACTGACGGCTAGACAGGCATAATGATTATTCAGCTTGTGAAAGCACCGGTACCAAGAAGATAAATTACTGAGCGATGATCGACCTATGGAAAGACCATAGCCATCCCGACTCATAGGGCAGACGCACTCATAGGGCAGGTTGGTATTCTCATCCGTGATCCAAGGAGTCATATCAGGTGCGACGTCTCGGTGCAAAGTTGGACAAGTTGCGGGGATTGCCCATTTTGACACCGTCTCATCGAGCACATGACCGAGCAGAGGTCAGACACATAGCGTCCTCCAATAGGCGGATCGCCTCTCGGAGCTGTGCCCCCTAACGTTTCCGAATCGGGGTGTAAAGTGTAAACATTCTGGTCTTCTCCAGCTTGAACTTGTCCTCCTGAGAGACCTGTCATTATTGTCGTAGAACATGGGGTGACTTCTGTAGGAGCAGGAAGACAACTTTGTCCGGAGTATTCATCTCGGTTGTGTAAGATTCCTTCATGAATCGGGTTCATGGAAGAGCGATCAGATCACGGAACGCCCGCTCAACCATACGGCAGACTGAAGCGCCGGTCCAGGAACCAGACAATAGGTGTTGCACGTCTTGTTGCCGCAAAACGTGGCGCAGTCAACCTGCAAGGTCCCTTCATCCAGCAGAATAATGCCCGAGGACCGGTGTCTGGGAGTTGGGAAAAGAACCAACCGGAACGGCAGCTCAATCACCAGAATAGGACCGTGAAGATACATTACTGGGTCGGCTACAGGCCATGAAAGGGACAGGAATGTGCTGCTGTGAGCACTGTTGAGGACCAGTCAACGTCGGAAGAGAGGACTTGTGCCTGCGAACAGCGGGTTCTTCCACAGAATCAATTTTTGATCCCGTGCCGCACATCATAGGCACTTGAATAAATAGCGGTATTACCAATGGAATCCCTCCAAGCGAACGTCACAATGTAGAGAGATAGAAACTCATACGAGAGAGAGCGTAAAGCTTCAGAATAAGGGGAATCAAATATCTGCTCACTGGGAGAATATGACAATGCAAGTGAGTATGAGGACAATTCCAGATTGATCAACGAGAGAAAGGTCATACAAGTTATGCTATCATCGGAATAGAATGTGGAAGCAAAGGGGGAATGTATCGTGAATTGTTTGGGTATCAGATCGTTGCCCCAGCCTCCTGGCGATGCAGCTCATCTTCCAGTACTCGAGCCCGATTCAACAGGGCCACAACCTCCGAGCGAGGACAAGCACGACGGATGAAAGGGTGATCCAGGAGAGCCACAGCGGAGGGTCTCCGTGAGGGCTCTTCGGCACACAATGCCAAAAAAGACCGCAGCTGTTCGCTCCATCTCAGAGGTTGGCTGAGAGGAGGTAAGTGGCAAATGGTTCGGAGGAAATCGACATCTTCAATTTCGGAATGGGGAGGTACCCCTTCCAGGAGCTCCCATAGCGTGGCACCAAGGGAGTAAATGTCCACAGCCGTGTTGTAAGGTTGGCCGGCGCGTAATTCAGGCGCCATCCAGTACCATACACCGACAACTTCCTTCCGTGTCGGCCGCTCAGGGGAGAGTTGAACAGCATGGAAGAAATCGGCTGTATATATTTGGTCAGCGAGGGATCAGCCTTCAGAAGAAACACATACCCAGCAACAGTCTGCCGTCATTCGAAAACAGCAAGTTGTCGCTTCTAACATCACGATGCACCACACCTCGTGAGTGCAGATATTTCAATGCCTCAAGCACATCAGCCATGAGCCGAGCAACCACCGCCTCTCCTCCGAGCTGCAACCCTTCGCCGCTCAACACGCACACTTCGGCGAGACTGCGTTCCATTCTCTCCATTCGCACCCACATCTCCCATCCTCGCATTATGGGCTCTTGCACCGCTTCCTCACCTTCCATGCCTTCAATTGGGGATTGGGGGCGTAACCAAGCGCCATCTGCACCTAGAAGATGTGCATGACGAAGTGACAGCTGAAGCAGGGTTTCTCGAAGTGTGGATAGCGTTGGCCGAGGGATGAACTTGAACGCCAGATGCTGCGTTTCAGAGTGCATGGGTGACATGGGCGACGCAGTGTAGATGTGTGAATGTGTCCCAAGGGCGATAAGCGTAAGTGTTTTTGGTGAAGGCGGACTGCCGGAGAGAAGGTATGGCTCTAAGGGCCGATATCCCTCCGGCAGCGGTACGTGGTTCTGCTCTTCATCATCTTCGGCCTCTCCTCCATCCTCGTCCTCCAGCCAATCCTGCAATGCATCTCCGAGGCTACCTTCTTCAACCTCATCACCACTTCCGTTAGTGATCACTACCTCCCGCGGTTCGGCACTAGGAGGGGTATCGACCAAGTCGTCTTCCATCTCATCACCGATCTGCGTTTCTCCACCGGGACTACGAGGGAAGCGATCTCTCACGTCCATAGGAGTCTGCGGGAACCGGACAGCGGCCCCACCTGGACTTGCTTGCACGCTGTTCGTTCTACTTGGAAGATCGCCGCCCGGCGCAAGGGTAAACATATACCCTCCGTCTGAGGTCCCCGGTGACGAAGGCAGCAGTGGGTAGCCGTTTGCGGAGTTCGGGGTCATCGTGGGGGAAGTCACAATGTGGGACGGGAACATTGCTGAGCTCGGAAGAGCCGCAGATGTCTGCGATTCAGGCGATGTGGTTGGGAACGCTCGGGGTGGCGTCATAGGCAGCAGGAGCTGTGCTGGTGCTGGCGGAAGAGGACGCTCTATGGCAGGACTTCTAGGTGAAGGCGTGCGCTCCTGCAGTTGTTGAACGATGGGCGACTGAAGTATAGGCGACTGAAGCACTGGCGATGGCGTATGTGGAGATGGAGATGTGGTCACTGAATGCGCAGTTCCAGGAGACGATATGGCCGTGGTGATGATTACCGGAGAAGGCGTAGTAGAAATTGTTGTTGGAATTTCCTGCCCAAACGCGGGGCCGGACATCTCCGCATATGCACTTGGATCAAACTCGTCATCTGCATCGGGCGTCCTCATTGGAGGACTACCTAAAGCAGCAGTGATACTTGGATTCGGGCTGAGTGGCAGAGTAAGCACCTGCCCTTCTGCATCGTCCTCTACTTTCGCATTCTCCACTTTGGGCATCGACGGCAGAGGCGGCACAGGTGGAACGTCGCCTTCCTTGCTTGCACCTGCCAGTGTCCGCTTACTTCCCTGATGCGACAACACTGAGGCAGTCACTGAGAACCCGCTGTCGCTTCTGTCCGAGAGGAAACCAGCGTCGGTCTCAAGCAGGCTGTGAGGCGGACTTGGGGGCACGGGCTGCATGTGCCTTACCTGGATCTCCTTGATCGTGGGTAGTTGAGCCTGGGCAGAAGTTGGGCTGAGCACAAGTGCAGGCGGGATGATAGCGATCGGCGTGCGCTGAACAGGTGTTTCTCCTCCAGTCGCACTGACAGGGGAAACAGCAGCAGTAGGCGGCTGGATCTCGACCTGCGGCACGATGAGCAGATCTTTTTCCGGCACAGGTGGTGGCGGGCTGGAAGGTGAATGGGAAAGTTGCGCTCCTGGGGGACTGGCGTTGCTCGGCATCTGAGCAAGTAACCATGGCGCCATCTCCGCAAGCTGCTTCACCTCGTCTTCTCCCTCTTTCTCCGATTCCCATTTCGCACGCTCTTGGGGGACGGCACGCGCACTCTTGGCACGGTCATCGATAGGAGTCTTAGTCGCCTTCTGTTCGCGTCGCGCTTGCTCAGAAGGAAGCGCGATGCCAGGCCCAGATGTGGTGAGAGGAGGTAGTCGTTGGGCCTTGCTCTGTGTTGGAGCACTGACAGCAGGGTTGGGGCTGATCTCAGTGGTCTCCAGTCGTTCAAAGATATCTCCCGCCCAGTCATCGCCCCAACTAATTTCGCTCGACGGCAGCCCCAGTCCTAAGCTGAGTGGTATTTGCGGCAGGGAGATCACAGGGGGCAGAGGGGGCACCACCGACGCGCGCAACGGCGCATCTAACGTAGGTGATAGGCCATGTCCATGCGACTGCGAAGAGTCGTGCTGAGAGCTAGAACCCTGATCAATCGATAGCCCGCGTTGTTGCTGTTGCTGTTGCTGAGAGGGAAGCTGAGCATTGAGGGCCGGCGTTTTCATCTCCTCCAACTCCAGCTCTCGAACCATTCTGGCTTGATCCACCAGCTCCCCGGTCCTTAGCCCCCGATCTCTGCTATACTCCACCTCCTGCACTTCCTCTCTCCCGCCTGCTGTAGGGTAAACCGTCAAGTCATCCAACTCTAGATCCCGCCGCTCCTCACTCGGCGTCCCAAGATCATCTGACCACTCTCCAGGTCCAGGGGGAGTAGGCAACAGCCGCACTGGCGGTTCCGGAAGTACTCGTACCCTGCTGGGATCTGGTTCCTTCGGCGGGGGAGCTGGAAGCGGTCCAGCAGGTGGAGGACGGCGTGGAGGTGTAGCGGTGCGCCTCTCTGCCCCAAAACCGTTCAACGGGAGTGGCGAAGGGGCACGCCTGGGCACTAACGGTGCCGTTGCGTCCAATGTGACTTGAGATCCGCTAGAGGGAGCGCTATTCGAGCTCGGGCTCTGGCTCATCTGACCCAATCCAATCCCCATCCCTCCTCCCTGCGCTCTGAGAGTAGCGACACCGGCGTTCATTCGGTCCTCCAGATGGCCCATCTCCTCGTCCGTGTCCCTACTCTTGTCCGGCAGGACTACGGCGCCGTAGAGGCCACCCATCTTCGGTAGCTCTCGCCCAGGGAGCGTCTTTGGATCCACAGGCCCCGTTCGCCCCTTAGCGCGCATCATGGCAATTTCCGCCTCGGAAAATCCTGCCTCGGGAAGCATTGTTGTCCACGTGGGGGGCAGACCCGAGAATCCCTCGTCCACATGGATGTTGTGCGATATTTGGAAGGGGAGGGAGATACTCGGGTCGCCATCGGATGGCTCGGGCGGGTAAATCTCCCCAACCACAGGAGATCCTCTGGTGGGGGGAGAAGAGGGGAACGCCGAAACTGTAGCAGAAGAGGAGGCCGTATGCGGGCGCCAGAAAGCCTTAAACGCGCTGATGCCAGCAGGCGCGGTCTGGGGTAGTGGTGGGGTGGGGCTAGGTCCGAGATGAGCAAAAGGAGCCCCAGGTGGAGGACTGGCATTTCCGGCGATCACGCTCGGCGCATATCCTGACGTCTCCCCCTCTTGCTCAGAGCTGGTCCTACTATTCGTGCCCGTACCAGGAGAAGAAGTCGTATTCCGTCGTACAGGCGCCAACGCCCCAGCGCGTTTCGTCAAACTGCCAAGCGCAGCAGAGATCTTGAATCTTTCCCCTGGGGTGCGTGCCTTGCCTTTCAATGCCTGACGGAAACTCAGGCTATCCTTCCGCGCTGGAGGAGTAATTGCAAACGTGACGCTCGGTCCATCGGTGCGGCCCCCAGAAACCTTCTCAAACGAACGTACGGTACCGTCGGCGGAAGAGAGGGAGACATTAATCGGGAGCTGGGAGACGTCCGTGTTGGAGGCGCCGGTGCCGTTGAGCATATGTACGCCTATGGCCGGAGGGTAGGAAGACGAGTTGGAGGACGAGGGGATCGATGCGAGGGTACTGCCCGTTTCGTCTGCTTCAAAGGAGGATGAGGAGGGAGAGTTGGCATGTTGACGCTGGAGGGCGATCGTTTGTGCATGCGAAGCGGGGGAAGCGGTAGACCCGGAACCGGCAGTAGCGGTAGATGCGGGCGATAGGGACTGTGACTGGGAATCGACATGCCCTGAGCTGTTCCCTAGCCGAGTCAGCGAGGACATGGCGCTAGAGATGTTGAACTGCATCCCGAATACGCCTTCCTTTTCCTTATCCCTTTCTCGATCTCTATCTCGTTGCACCCCAGTAGCGGCGGTGCTCGGTCGTGGACTCGCGGGTAAGCCGTTACTGCCAGACAGCGGTGTTGTCGGAGTGGGGAAGTAGAAAGAGTATCCCGAAGTACTGATTGGGGAGTTGGCGGGAGAAGTCGAAGGACGAAGACGGAACGTGGGATCAAGCAGGTGAGGATCCTTGGGTGGTGGTGGGGGTGGTGGAGTACCGTCCGCTGCGGGCGGTGCAGGTGAGGTGAGGAATGAGGGCGATTGGTTGTCACCGTGCTGAGGCCCAAGTGATGGCGAATTCGTAACAATGGTAGTTGTTAGAGGTGACGAAGGCTTGAGACGAGCAAGAATAGACATGATTTTCCCAACCTCCTCTGCTATATTGCGTATGTTGAGATGACCCGAGTAGATCAGTAGTCGAAAACAAAGGTGTGACAAGAGACTGCGCACTCAGGGTAATCCCACCAGCCCAAGTCCAGACCCGGTGATGAAGCAAGATACCAGAATAGTAAGCAGATGTATGCAGCCTATTCAGTTGGTCAACGTCGTCGGGGATGCGCGGCAAAGACGTCGGAAACAGCGCACAGGAAGGGCTCAGCTGTGGTTTGTGCGCTACGAAGCCGCAGACGAGCAGATGGCGAATGGGGCGGTGCTTCTTGGATGTACAGCACGGTCTCAGCGGTACAGTTTTACCAAAACTGACGCTGTTCGTCGTCGTCGTCGTCCTTGTCGTCGTCGGCGCTGTCTGTGGTCGCGCTTGTGGGTGTTTCGTGAGTGTCCGCCCGTGCACAGCAACTCGTTACTAGCGCAGGGACAACCGACGACAAGGGAGGAACGTAACACGCGGATTTAACCCACACGGAATCACTTTAGCTTCCCTCCATTGTTCCCCCTCTATGGTGGAATGACACAGCATGGTTCACTGGCATGCTCTCTCTTACCTCCTCATGCTGAACTTATCATCCAGCTCATTATGGCTACTCCCCTCTATCTTGCCCAACCATGCCCTCAGG